AGCCCGGCCCCGCCCGGGGCGCAGCTCGGCTTTCCGCTGAGCGGGTGCCGCGGCGCCGCCTCCCGCAACCCTTGTCCTGGGAGGCGGTGGGAGCTGTGGCCGGGGCCCGCGGGACCCCTGGACTTTCGGCCCTCCGGCAGTTCCGTGGTGGCGTTCCGATAACGAGGCGGGCTGAAGGGCCCCGCGCCAGCTCTCCGAGCCTCGTCGGCGTCCCGGCGCGCTCTTGTCTGTGCTGCCCGTGCCCGGCCCGCTACCCGCTCCCGGTCGCGGCCGGCCGCCTCCCACTGCCCCGGGAAGGGAGCGGCACTGAGCTCCTGAGTGTGGAGAGGACTGGATCAGAACGGTCACCGCTGTCACTCGTCCCCACACGACCTCCTTACGAACCTATCTCCAGTCCGCGTGCTTCTTTCCTCCCACCGTGTCGCCAGCCTCCCAGCCACCATAACTCCGGCCCCAACTCCACCCTCTCCGCCTCCTTCCGGTCTCTCCGCAGTCTGTTTTCTACACAGCTTCCAGCTTCATCTTTCAGCACTGATGATGCTTATCAAGTTGTCTGGGACTTCGAACACACCTCGAACTTTGGGCCTGGGCATGTGGGCTCAGGTGGATCGCCTGCGAAGGCTGCACGATCTGTCAGCTGTCAGCTCTGCGCCCCCGCACGAATGAACAATATACGTGTTTCAAAGGTCTTAGTTTGATCCAGAGCCCTTCTTGGCTCTTCACTTTTCTTCCCTTCTCTCCTCTCTACTGATGGTTCTCAGAACAAGCTATAACATTCAAAGCCTTAGCTTTGTTTTGAGCTTCACAGGGGTTGAATCTTAGGCCTGCCACAAAGAAGAATTACGCATGTAAAGTGCTTCATAAATTATTACAGAGTAAATTCTCAGGAGGTGCCCATCTTAGGTGGCATCACCATCCACTGCAGAGTTCAGTGCTTCAACCAGAAAACTGCTTTGACTCCTTCACCTCATATCCAACCTGTCAGCAAATTTAGAAAAAATACAGTCCCGATGGAACACTGTTCATGTGTGTGTGTGTGTGTTGGTACTCTGCCACTTGAGCTACAGCTCCACTTCTGGTGGTTCATTGGAGATAAAAGTCTCCTGGACTTCTCTGCCTTGCTGGCTTTCAATCTTGATTCTCCGTTCTCAGCCTTCTGAGTTACTAGGATTAGAGGTGTGAGGCACTACCACCCAGTTATCATTTCCTGTATTCTACCAGAATCCAAGCCGCCATGACATCTCATTTTCAGTCTTGTTGTTTTTCTTTCTGTATATACACTCCCAACTCCAAAATTCCTGCTTTTTATCAGACACCTATTACACAGCCATCATCTCTTTCTCCTTCAGTAGCTTCCTGTTGCTCTCAAATTAATAAACTGTATAACACCTAGTAGGGTACCCTACTTTGTTGTTGTTAGTCTGCATTTTATCTCCAGATTTGTGTCACCTTTAAAGAACTGGGCTTTGCCTATTGGTTCTCTACCATGAAACCAAAGGACTTTTGTCTAAAGTGGAAACCCAATCTTCCTCTAAGGCAGAAACCCTCGGAAGATTTATTGCACCTACCTCAAGATATAATCTTAACTAGGCCTTTGTGATTTTGTCCCACTTTCTTCTCCAAAGTGTCTTTTTTTTTTTGCCTGAGCATGTCATTTTATTTTCTATAGTACCTCATTACTTTTATATGTATTTCCTTACCTCTGATGAATTCCAATATTTTTATTTGGGGCCCAGCATAAACATTGTTTCATCTTTGAAATGCTCTACTCATCCATTCCTCATCCCAGATGATTATCCCCATTTGTATATTTCTGT